TTCCCTGAACGGGCACTGTTGTCGGCTGCGGTGGGAGCGGAGGGAGACGGAGGTTCCTGTGCTTAGCCTTTCCCTGACCTGCATTCAAATCTCCAAAGGTGCTTTAAGTATTTGATTCCTGCAGAAAACGGGGATGGCGGGAAGGAAGGTGGGAAGGGGAAGACAGAGCGCGACACACACCGGAATAGGCGGCGGAGTTTGCCGAGGCGTGGGAGCCATTTGCTCTCCCATAAAAATAGCTGCAGTGCCACGTCACGGGCGACGAGGTGGACCGGGAGCCCGCAAACCAGGTGTAGCGGGGCGGCACCACGCTACCGTTTGGGGTTTTAAGAGGCTGCACCTCCCCCGCCCCCAGAAACGTTACAGGAATCAGCGTTTGGGAAAGAGACACTGGTATTAGCCCCAGGCAACCACAAGGCCCAGAAACATGGGAAAGTCATTAGCTGGGCCCTGGCTCGCTTCAGCAGCACACAAATAAGTCTGGCGGCTACCCTCTTCAGGGTCTTGATTTCGAGCCCAGCCCTCGTGTGTGTGTGTGGGGGGGTGCGGCTGCAGGAATGTAAATGCTCGGCGCTGGTTACAGACATTCAAATGACAGACCCCCTCGCTCTGTTTGGAACAACGATTCCATCAAGCCTAAAAGTTCCCCCCCCCCCAGCCTCCCAGCTCGAAGGGACAGCATGTCGTTAAGGCAATTAAGCCAAACAGCAGATGGCCGCCTCGAACTCGCTTCTCACCCTACAAATAAAGTCCCAAATGAATGTCAACGGCCAGAAACAGGAGACTGTCCCTTATGAGGCTGTCACGGATCAATTTGAAAGAGAGTTTATTCCCTTATACATATGGCTTATTTGACTGTTTCTGCACTCGCATCCCGCACTCAGTTGTGCTCACGGGACTCAGGCAGATCATGAGAGGGAGCGCAGGAAGGGTTGCATCAGTGCGTAGTTCTTGCGGCCCTTTCTTACACACCCAGGGAAATGCGGATTGCCACTCAGGATGCAATTTTTCTCCAGGCCAGTTTGGCGGGAGATCCTGGAGGTTTTTCGTCATCTTCTGGCCGTGGAACAGCGGTCCCTACGGGTGTGGAGGGGAATGTATTTGTGAATTTCCTGCATGGTGCAGGGGGTTAGACTAGATGACCCCGGAGGTCCCTTCCAACTCTACAATTCTGTGACCCAGGTTGGGATCCGGCGGATCCATTCTGCTAAATCGGCCTTCCACCGGTGCAAGAGCTGAGCGCCCCTCGCTTCAGGGAAGGGGCCGCTATCGGCGAAACAGGCCACCGGGACGCAAATCGGGTTGTCCGGGTCACCTTGTGGAAAAGGCAATGTTTTCCAACCACGCCGGTTGACTACTCGGGCCCCTTAGCTACTGCGGTTGTCGTTGGGAACAAAAAGAAAGGCAATTTACAAGAGAAGAATCTGGACACACGTTTATAGATCCGAGAAGTGTAAGGTGGGGCGGCCCCCCCAGCCTGTTTGTTTGGGTTAATCCTGCAACCTCCCCGCCCAACAGATGCATGCGCACGCACACACGCCTTTTAAGACTAGGCAAACCGGGAGGCTTTGCTACAGTAACAGCGCACGCCACTCAAGAATCCGGCCTGCCCCAAACAAATATTTCCACATCGCCGGCCGCAGAGACCAGAGGAGCTCAGCGGGAGACGGAGAACAATACTCGTCAGCCATACTCGACGTGACTCAGGGACATGGCTTCAACCCCACGCCCCTCCAGCCACTGGCTTTGTCAGCCCCGAGAGCTCCTGAACACACGTCCCATAAAGCTGATGTAAGGAAACCAGCTTTCCGTACAGCAGAAACAAAAATGGTTTCTTTGAAGAAGAAAAAAAAGGTGGGGGGGGACCCAAATTCAATCCAGCGACTGTTGACAAGAGACGCTGCAGGTAACGTTCTGCAAAGTCCTAAAGGGAGAGTAGTATCGCACTTTAAAAGACAAGTTGTGTGTATGGAGCGGGCAAGAAATGACTCGCACGCTTCCCCGTCTCTCGCGGTTTACCAGCTTGGGAAAGGAAAGAGGGCGTGTTTCCCAAAAGGGACAGTCACCCCCCAAAACGGTTTATGTGTAGAGGCCTCACACGCGGGGGGGGGGTGGGAGGGGAGGATGTCTGCACAGTGAGCCGTAATTTTAAAATGGTTCCCGGGGCAGGGAAGAGAATTCACTTCTCTATCGAGCTTCTCCACCCTCCCACCCCAACCGCCTTCGGCAAGATGAATCAGTCCGGGGAGAATGCCAGGAGCGACGGCTGGGCAAGGCCGGCTGCCCCACCCAATCTCTTCCTGCCCCGCCGCCCTGCCCTGCCTAAGCAACCACCGCCACCGGCCCCAGGGCCCCTCCTTCTCCTCCCGGCTGCGGGCACAGGAAGCTTTCCAGCACGAGGCCCGCAAGGACGAGGTTGGCACCCCCGTCCACCCTCCAAACTCTATGGGAACTGACGCTGCCCTTTTGAGGCGGTAAGGTCAGCTCACCCTCGTCCTCCGCCTGAGTCCGGAGAGTCACAGAAACCACCAGTTTCTCCGCACTGCTTCCCACCGCCGCTCCCCCCCCCCGGCCACCCCCCTGATTTCCAAAACCCTGCTCTGTTCCCTTCCCGCACACCCCGGCCCATCTGCCTGGTTCGGTTCCGATCGGGGCCGCGCGCGCGAAGGGATTCTCCACCTCGTGGGTCCTGCCCTTTCCTCTTCAGATCGGAAATCTCTGCTGATATTCGATGGCCGTGCCCCGTGAAAACGCCCCCAAATCCCTTAGGTCTGCCCCCCCCCCGGCAAACATTCCCCAAAGCCTTACCTGCCCCCTCCTTGAAATGGCATGTTCTCCTCAAACACACCCTTCCCCAAACCTCCAAGCTCTTCCATCCCACACATTCCCCACCCTGATCTGGCCGACCCCGTGACCCCCCCTCCCGCGGCTAGGTTCTCCCCAAACCAACCCTCTCCACACAGCTCCCCAGACCCTAACGGCACCCCACACCGCCTGAGACCCCTCCAGGGCTGACCTCGCGATGCCTCCCTACCCGTAGCCATGGCAGGAGACCCTCGCCCACTCTGAAGCCTCTCCATGCCTGTAGCAGCCGCTACCTTCGAGACTCAGAACATTTAGTTCAGTGGCGACTTTGGTGAGTCACGGCTGGTTCTTTCCGACATGCGGCCAAAGCGCACTGTCGGAAGAATGAGCTCCGTGGGACACGGCGGCGGGCCTTACTTTTGAGCAAGCACACCCGGGATTGTGACGTAAAGCACCCAAGACCCACGACAAGGCCCATCTTGAAAGACCCTGAAAAGTTTAGCTTTTTAAAAAGGAAGCGGACACCACCTAGAACGATGCTAGGCTCTTCATAAGCGGCGCCACGGTAAGAGGGCTACTCCAAATACCCTAAGTCATGCTCCCCCCCATTTGCTTAGCTGTTCCCCAAACTGAAGACGGTCCACTCCACAAGGACACCCCCTCTTCAGCCTTTCCCACGTGTAACTTTCCACCCTTCTAATGGGGGGGGGGCTTAACTCAGATCGCAGGCCTTCCTTCTCCCCACCCCGCCACACTTCCAAAACTCCCAAAACTTTCTCTTCCTTTTTACCCAAACCACTCAGCGAACTGTGGAAGGCTCTATGTGCTTGCGACAAAAAAAATAATGGGGTTTAATCCTCCTGCTTGAATTGGACACCACCCCCCTTCATCCCCAACCTGCAGCTTTTGCCCTGGCAAGCTTTCCTCTTCCTTCCGAGCTGAAGGAGGCCACCAGAGAAAGGGTCGGGAAGGAGACAGCCAAGATGCCCCCCCACACACACACACCTTTCTCAAAGAAGAATGGATTTACATGGCCTCTCGGATTCCTGCAAGCCACTTGGGGGCCGGAAAACTGGGAAAGACGTCAACGGAACACCTAGCAGAAAACGCACACCGAACGCCTGGCCTGGGGGGGGGGCCTTCCAGAGCCCCACACCTCACAGCTGACCCCCAAGCACACACCTGGCCAAGGTTTTTCTTCGTGCCCCTGCCGGGGAGAGGCCTCCAGGCCACAAAACCACCACGACCTGTCAAGTCCCACAAGGTGAGCCCCCCTCACTAACCCCGACACTTTGTTTTTTACATTCTCTCGTCGCCACCCACACAACTACCCTGCAAGGTCGGCCAGTCCTGTCCAGAGCCCCTCCCCATATAACACAAGGAGGAGGAGGGGAATTTGAAGCTGGATGAGAGTAAATGAAGGGTAACCCGTAAAGTAGGACAGCACTGTCAAGAGCCCTCCCCATAAAATACAATTTGAAGAAAAGCGGGGGGGGGGCTTGCTGCCATCCTTACCAAGAGCCTTGTAAGGTAGACCAGTACGGTCAAGACCCCTCCCCGTAGACTACAATCAGGAGCAACAGAGGGGGGGCTTCCTACCACCCATACAAGGGCCCTGCAAGGCAGGCCAGTTCCCGTCCAGAGCCCCTCCCCACATAACGCAATTAGGAGGGGCAGAATTTGAAGCTGGGTGGGAGCGGTTGAGGGTGCGATCTTCTCTTCCAAAGAGCCCTGGCAAGATAAGGCCAGTGGCTGGCAAGACCCTATAATACAATTCGGAGGAGAGCGGAGAGGGCTCGCCGCGATCTTCACAACGGCCCTGCAAGGCAGGCCAGTCCCGTCCAGAGCCGCCCCCCCCCCATATGTAACACAACTTAGGAGGGGGGGAAATTCCAAGCTGGGTGGGAACGGCCGAGGACGCGATCTTCCCTCCCAGGCGTCCTGTAAGGTCAGGCCAGCGCTGGCAATGCGACCAGGAGAGCTGCCGCCCTTACAACGGCCCTGCCAGGTAGGCCATCACCCTCCCCGCCCTGTCGCATGGCCTTGGGGAGGGAGGCTACCCGGCGACCTCCTCTCCCTGCTAGCGGCCGGCTCTCAACCGGGGAAGGCGGCGGCGGCGGCGCTCTGCCCATGCCCCGAGGCGCGCTCCGCCCGGGCGCTCTGCGCATGCCCCGAGGCCCGCTCCGCGCGCTCACCTTGCGCTGCTGCTTCTCCCAGGCGGGGTCGAGGAGGAGGTCGCGGTCCCAGTCGTCCTCCTGAGCCATGTAGTCGCCGATGCCGGGCCCGTTGCCCCCGTACTGATACGTCGGCTGGCCAGCGGTGTGGTAATCCACCATCGTCGGGGGGGCGGCGGGGGCGGCGCGGGGGGAGGGCGGCGAGACCCGGGGAGGGGGAGACGGAGGAGCGCGCAGCTCACGCGCGCCCCCGCGCGGGCGCCGGGGGGGGAAGGACGGCCCGCCGCTGTTGGGGAAAAGGAAAAGAACGTCGGGGGGAGGGATGGTCGTCAGACTGCGCAGCCGCGAGGGCAGGCCAGTGGCTGGGGAGGGGCTCGGACCCCGCCCCCTTTCCCCGCGACAGAGTTCCTCAGGCGCCTCGTTGCCCCGCCGCGGCGGGTTCAGCGCGCTTGCGCGGGCTCTTCCCGCTTTGGCTCGGACCCCCACCGGCCGCGCCTGCGCCGTTCTCCGGCGAGGGGGGAGTCTTTCTGGGAGTGCGCGTGCGCGGCTGGTCCTCGTGTCTGCGGAAGGGGGGGGGAATAGAGTAAATGCCATGAACAGGATACTAATTAATAATATTCGTGTGTCCTGTATCGCTACCAGCTCTGTGGCTTGTTGCTATGAATCTTCATTAATATCGGTAGTCATTAATATTCATGCGCGGACAGGAGATCGGTAGTCATTAATATTCATGCACGGCTCTCTTGTTTGTTTAATGTTTTTTTTAATAAAAAATTTTATTAAGTTTTTGATACAATCAGCAAAACTGAAACCAAACAGCGTTGCAAATGAATATAAATAAAAATCAATTTAAACTTAAACATGGTGATGAATTAAATAACTCGTTAACTTCTGCGTTCCAAAAAACAGTAATGTTGACAAACTAGATAACTTAAGAGGCCTATACTCTACTTTTTATCATGCTGTTTAGGTTCGCCATCGCTTTCCTCCCAAGGAGCAGGCGTCTTTTAATTTCATGGCTGCTGTCACAGTCTGCGCTGATCTGGGATCCCAGGAACCTGAAGTCTGTCACTACTTCCATCCTTTGGTATGGGCGTAGGGCAGTGATGGCGAACCTTTTAGAGACCGAGTGCCCAAACTGCGACCCAAAACCCACTTTTTTTTCTTTTTTTTTATAGATCTTTATTGGTTTTCAAACAACATGCATTCCACATATACTCTCATCACATCCCGTCACCCACATTCTCCCTCAAAACCACCACCCTTCCCGACACCACCGCAGATCTCCAACCCAACCGCCATTTAATTATTCAGCCACTTATAAAATGGTGACCATACGTTCTGAAATACAGTGTTCATCTTTCCGTTAATTTTCTGCGTTAAACAGTCCATTTCTGCAACCTCCAGTATTTTCGTTATCAGATCTTCTTTTGTCGGTACTTGCTCAGCTTTCCAAGTCTTCGCAAGTAATATTCTTGCAGCTGTTATCACGTGCAAGGTTAAATATTTATCATTTCTTTTCCAATTATCAGGTAAGACATTTAACAGAAAAAGTTCAGGATCTAAATTAACTTGTTTTTTGATTATCTGAGTTAACATCAATTGTACCTCCCTCCCATACTTGTAAACCTCTTTACATGACCACCAAACATGGAAATATGAACCCACCATTTGCACTTCCAACATTTACATCCGTGCTAGTCTTTCCGGGGATAAGTACCAACGATGAATTACTTTATAAACATTCTCTTTCAGTGCTGTAGCCTTCAACCGCCTTATGTTAGCCCATATTTTTTGCCATTTCTGCCCATCAATTTCATGACCTAAATTTCCCGCCCAGATCTTCGTGGTGGCTTTCATAACCACCTCTCGCATCTCTTGTTTAAGTAGGAGGGAGTATAGCTTTGATATCATCTTTGACTCCTCTCCAAGTCTGTCACTACTTCCGCGACTTCCCCTTCTATTTGCCAAGGAGTGATGGGGCCGGTTGCCGTAATCTTAGGGTTTTTCACTTTCTGCCATTAGAGTGGTATCGTCTGCATATCTGAGGTTTACTTATCTCTATATAAATAGCAATCTTGTACCCACTTTTACTTACCTGTAATAATAATAATTTAAATTAGTAATATTAATATCTGCCTCATTATTACCAGCAGTGCCTGTGAGGGTAATAGAACAAAGTTTGAATCCGGCGGCACCCTGAAGACCAACAAAGTTTTATTCAAGGTATAAGGTTGCCGTGTGCAGGCACACTTCTTCACAATGCACATAGTCAAGGAAGACTGAAATCCAGGGTCACCGCTTTATTGAAATGCATATGCCATATTTCAGTTTTGTGCCAGCGTTTCCTTATGCAGAGTCACACCCGAGGTGTGTCATTTAATATTATTTCTGGTTTAATTGCGTAATTATTACTGTTCAGCTGGGCGATAGGTGAAAACACGAGGAATAGTCATGCTGTTACACTCGTTCGACAACTCCTTGATCTTCTGCGTAGGAACAGAGATACCCATTTTTTTAAGAAATTGAGAGCCAGTTTGGTGTAGTGGTTAAGTGTGCAGACTCTAATCTGGGAGAACTGAGTTTGATCCCCCACTCTTTCACATGCACCTGGCTGGATGACCTTGGGCAAGCCATAGTTCTGACAAGAGCTGTCCTTGAAAGGGCAGTTCTCAAGAGAGCTCTCTCAGCCCCACGTACCTCACAGGGTGTCTGTTGTGGGGAGGGGAAGGGAAAGGAGATTGTAAGCCGCTCTGAGACTCCAAGTGAAGGGCAGGGTATAAATCCAGTCTTCAAATTCCAGGTTCTGTGTGTGGAAGCTGCCTTTTTCTTCCACAGAATAAGAACACAAGAGAAGCCACGTTGGATCAGGCCAGTGGCCCATCCAGTCCAACACCGTGTGTCACACAGTGGCCAAAACCCAGGGGCCGTCAGGAGGTCCGCCAGAGGGAACGGGATAGCATCTGTTCGGGGAGATATAAACGCACCATCAGTTTTGATTCAGAAAAGTATACCTTGCAAAAGACAATGCTAGGAAGGTTGAAGAACCCAACATGAGGTAGGTTGACTCCATGAAGAAGAAGAGATTGGATTTATACCCCGCCCTTCACTACCTAAAGGTGTCTCAGAGCGGCTTACAAACTCCTTTCCCTTCCTCTCCCCACAACAGACACCCTGTGAGGTAGGTGGGGCTGACAGAACTCTTGACAGAAACGGCTCTTTTCAAGAACAGCTCTTATCAGAACTATGGCTTGCTCAAGGTCATCCAGCAGCTGCGAGTGGAGGAGTGGGAAATTAAACCCGGTTCTCCCAGATTAGAGTCCGCGCACTTAACCACTACACCAAACTGGCTCTCAATTTCTTTTTAAAAAATGGGTATCTTTGTTCCTACGCAGAAGAACAAGGAGTTGTCGAACTAGTGTAACAGCATGACTATTCCTCGTGTTTTCATGAAACTGAAGGAAGCCACGACGACCCTCGGTTTGCAAGACCTGAGCAAAGCTGTCAATGGTAGGACATTGGGAAGGTCATGAAGCCATAAGGTCCCCATAATTCGAAATATAAGAACATAAGAGAAGCCAATGTTGGATCAGGCCAATGGCCCATCCAGTCCAACACTCTGTGTCACACAGTGGCCAAAAATACCAGAGGCCATCAGGAGGTCCACCAGTGGGGCCAGGACACTAGAACCCCCCAAGCGCCAAGAATACAGAGCATCCCTTGCCCCAGCCTGAGCCCCTATCTATACCTTGTGGCTAATAGCCACCGATGGACCTCTGCTCCATATGCTTATCTAATTCCCTCTTGAAGCCGTCCATGCTTGTAGCCGCCACCACCTCCTGTGGCAGTGAATTCCATGTGTTCATCACTCTTTGGGTGAAGAAGTACCTCCTTTTATCTGTTCTAACCCGACTGCTCAGCAATTTCATGGAGTGCCCACGAGTTCTTGTCTTGTGAGAAAGGGAGAAAAGGACTTCTTTCTCTACCTGCTCTGTCCCATGCAATAATCTTATAAATCTTGAGGGCTCATTGACACACCCACACGTCTGAAATCTGGCTGTGTGAGGCTTGGTATTGTAGGATCGGGCTGATCCCCTTATTTTGCACGGGGACGGATTTTGCATTTGTTTTTAATGGCAGTAGCAGGCACATGGAAGGCCAGTTTGCTCCACCTTCCTGTGCTATACCTCTGAGGATGCCATATCCAAAAGAACCTCCTCAGGAAAGCTCCTCCATTAGCGTGTTCACAGCCTGGAGAACTCCTACAAGATAATGGCTCAGCCCTACCCCACCTTCCTGAGTAGATATAAATTACCTGCCTACCATTTTTCTTCTCCCCTTGACACAGAGAGTACTCCATCTCTCTGTGTTATACTTCCGAGGACAGTCACAGCGGCTGGCAAAAGGTCAGGTCCTACAATGCCAAGACCACGGCCAGACAGCCCGGAAAATCTACAACTAAAGAACTCCGGCCATGAAAGCCTTCGACAGCATAATTTAAAAATTCTTCAGCGGGAGTCCTTTCATTTTATTTTTCGCTGTTCCCGGGTGATCCCCTACAGAAAAGCCGCTGTGAGCGTTTTGCTCAGTCCTGCCTTCCCGTCAACCAAGCAGGCCCGTAGCCGGGATTTTGTGACTTGTAGGGCAAAAAAAACCAAATTTCAGGTGGAGCTGCCATTATTTTTATGTCAGCTCCAATCCGCCTCCATATCCGACTGCAGGCAACCACCCTTCGCCCTCCCCTCCTGCAAGATGTAAAGGGCCCTTCTGCTGATCGGCAGGGAGCACGTGGCCAGCCAATCAGCTGGAGGGCCCTTTAAATCTTGCAGGAAGGAGGGAGAGGGGCCCGTGCCATCCCCCGCTTCTTCTCAAAAGCATTTAAAGAATCCTTTTAAATGTTTTTGAGAAGAAACGGGGGGGGGGGGGTGCACGGGGGGATGCACATGGTACCTCCCATTCTTCTAAAAAAAAACAGGGCCTGGCCCTTTCAGGAAGGGGGCGGAGCCACCAGTCGCCCCACTGTAGCTACCGGCCAGCACCCGAGCTGGTCCCTTGGTTCAGAAACAAAAGCACCTACGGGTGACACTCGTTTCGAGCTCTCGGCGCCAGAAAAACAGAAGCGGCCACGAGTCGCTTCTTAGCCGCAGCTTCCTCAATTTGTA